AGGCGGCATGGAAGAGTACATAACTTAAGATAGCAGCTACGCGTTATCTTAGGTTGGACAAGTTGATTCCACGGGAAATCCAAGACAAGTAAGGTTGATTATTTCATTGTTCTCTTAAAAGAAAATGACACAAGCAGGCTGAGCACACAGTAGGAGAGCAGTCTTAAATCTTCAGTAACGTCAATGTATATGCTAAACTTTGTGAGGTCTAGCAAGAACTCCTGTCTCTTAGAATGTATGAGATATGTTTTATCATAATGCTTTGCCACAAAGAACTCTCTCAAGAGATCAAATAGTAAATAATGTGTAGTGCAACACAAGCAATGTATAATAGCAATAGTTTTTACATCTAAGTCAAAGAATACAGTGTTTGGTACTTTTGAAACACTTGGATAATTTTGTCTTAGATATTAGTGGAACTTTGGAGACAAAAAATGTTTATCTTTCGCTTTATTTACTTTTAATTTTTAAAATTTATTTTGTTTATTATAAAAATTGCAACAAAAAACATCATGCAATGACACAAAAATGTAAAACAAAACTAGATCAGAACTAAGACAATGGCTTGAACCTGTGAAATGCAAATCATTTATGTATAGATCATTGGGATTTTTCAAAATAGGTTGGGGCTTGTCCATGCTAAATATGTTGATAAAATTTCATTATGTCTTCTGTAGGTCCAATTTATTCACAAAACTGTTTACATAATCAGAAATTCCGAAAACAGAAAGGGCAGAAATATTTGCATGGTGATCTGAAACTATGTCAAACCCTGACAAACACCAACACTGTCAACACTTCCCACCTCTTGTCATAAAGTGCAGTTGTCGTGGCCACAACTATTTGGTTTCTAAATGATCTTCATTTATACAATAACATTGTGCTCCTCTAAACAAAAAAAAAAAGGTCCAATTTGAGCATTTCACTACAAAGAAACGCAGTTTTATGATTTTCCTACATCATACAGTTTATGTGGATTTATTTCCATATTTCTCAAATAACAAGTTTCAGAGCATTATGTGTGGCACTAACTAACCTCTAGATTTTTATAAGCTAAAATCTTGAATGTATGAAAGCTCTCCTTCAGACTGCAAAGGCATTGACTGAATAATTTCATAGTCCAGACCTGCTTGTATTTCTATTTTCCCAATCTAAAGTGCTAAGCAGTTATCAACCATTACAGTAGCCTATAGAATGCTAGTTTTCTCAACTGAAAACAAGAAAAGTCCATTTTTCCCCCATATGTGCCGCTTCCAGTGGCAGCTTCCAATGCTAAACAGTGACCGATCACTATAGCAGCATACAGGATGCTATTTTTCTCAATTAAAAACATGAAAACGCTATTTTCCCCCCATGTGTACTCTTTCCAGTGGCAGCCTCAAAGGTTCAATGAGCACACAGGTATTTCAGGCTACCTGAGCACACAGCAGGTCTAAACTGGAATATCTGCTTGTGGCCTACTGATGCCACCTAAAAGCTGAAAGATTACATGCTGGGACTTGGGTCATTTTACTGTGTATGTTGAGAATCTTTCTGGAATGTCATTATGGCTCAGGGTAACATTTTAAGGAATCATTAATAAATATGCAGTGAATGACAGAAGCAAAGGAACAATATGAACCAACCCAACACAGGCAGTTTTAATAAAGCATCAGAAGTATTAAGTCTCTCATCAGATTTCCTTAATAAAATGCCCTTAAACAACCATAGGTCTGGATATAAATTTGAATTTCTGTGTAGAAATAGACACAGCCTATCGTGGCTATAAAGGTTTCCTTCTAAACTGAGGCCTAAGATGATTCTCCTTTTCATGGCATTATTCAGTCCATTCTGTTCCCTTAAGATTGCTGCAGAAACCTTAAATGCTTGATTTAACTACGTTACTTGCAAACACATATTAAAGAGAACATCTTACAGGCTTTTCTTCCTTAGGGCTATGGAAATTTTAGTAGTGTAAATAAGCATTTTCTATGAAATGGCTTAAGGAATGCTTGTGCCTACACAAACGCAAACAATTGCTGAAATAATATCATGCACGCCCATGTAAACACCTTGCTTGAAAAACTCGAGTTAATGCCTTTATACTGTTTTAACATAGTAATCTACGTTAAATCACATTTGGAATGAAGTTACTGCATTGATCTTGCACAACAAATACTGTATGAACATTGTTAAACCACACCCTTAGATAGCCTTCTTTGAAAATATCTACATGTTACCCTTACAATATTGAAGAATATGTTGGGTTTATTTAGAAGAGTGTGCAAATAAACTGAGTAAGTTATTACTGATGCTTTGTTCTATTTTTAAAGAGGCACTGTTTCATATTCTCTAGAATACGTATTGTCATATTATGTTTTATAGTAGCCAACAAAATGTGTTGCTGAGAACATGAGAAGAAGAGTTCTTTATTTTTAAGCCAATTTCGGAAGTAGTCATTCTTTAGACAATTGAAAGAAAGAAAACATAGGACAGACAAAGTGAAAAAAAAATGGGAATTTGGCATAGAGCTCAGAGGTAGAGCACCTGCCTGCATGCTCAGGTCTGGGTTCCATGCCCAGCACCATTTTTTAAAAAGCAGTGAACTATTCCAAATTGATGTGATATCTCATAAAAATTCATAAATGTCAAGGTAATGAGACCGTTTAAATGGCAGAATATAGGATTCAAAGGAAAGAGAAGCAGCCATTAGAACCATCTAGAGTGAAAGAACACTTGCATGCTTATATACTAGGGAATGGACCATAAACACTGCTACATGATGTAAAACATTACAGTAGGGAAAAGTTGCCTAAACCGTGCTTTAGCTGATGCTGAGGGGAAAATTTATAAATTTGAATAAATGTCCCTTGACTAAGCAGCTTCAAAACCATTGCTAGAAAATCAAAAGACATCATTGTTTTAATTTGTTCATTCATTTTTTTTTAAATATTGCACACCATCTAGCCAACTTTCAGTTGCTCATTTAAAGAGGAGCAGACGCTTGGCAATGCCAATATGAATTTTCCAAATATGGATTGGGAGAGAGTGTGAATGATTCTAGTTATTTTTATGTGACAGTAACTTTACAGTTGGAGAGGATGCTGGCCATGCAGGATGACATCTGAAGTTGGTAGTACTCTGAAAACTGTCAACAAACAGTGAGTGTCAAGAGAATGAGATTGACTGTCTATGCGTACATTACGTTTCTTTTATTTCAAGGACTTCTGCCTGATGCGTGTTTGTAACATGAGAAAAGTCCAGGACTATAGAATATATGTCAGGTAGACCACAAAAAAACACACACATCAATTATTGGGGCATCAGTTATTACTTAATAGAATTGCCCTGGCATTTAATTCCCATTTCATTTCAATCTCTGCTACAAGGATAGACAGAAGACCATCACTATTATTCTAAATTCAACTGAAGGTTGCCATTCTTAAAAATATCTTTTAAAGTATATTTCAAAAACTCATAATCTTTATAATTTTACAATCATTAAACAGCCCATGTTGCTTCAGACCGGTGTGTTGATTCAACTTTGAGATTTTGAGCTGCAGGAATATAACTGGATTTTTGAAATGTTGGCTAATGTGTGTATCAAGGCTCTTATTCCTTGGAACTGGTTTCCAGAAGTTCTTGAAGATTTTTTTTTTAAATAAAAATGGTAGGGCTGGAGAGATGGCTCAGAGGTTAAGAGCACTGACTGTTCATCCAGAGGTCCTGAGTTCAATTCCCAGCAACCACATGGTGGCTCACAGCCATCTATAATGAGATCTGGCGCCCTCTTCTGGCATGCAGGCATACATAGACGAAATGTTGTATACATATTAAATAAATAAATCTTTAAAAAAAATTAAAAAAAATGGTAAATTCACAATCTCAAAATTCACCATGCCAGGAAAGTGATAACAATCTTGCCTTTCTACACAGGAATTTGAAATTTAAATTAAGATGTTTAACATAGGCTATAATTATATAATTTATGAAATAAAATTTTAAATCATACATAAATTTGAGTCTAGACTTAAACTGCTATATGCTGTCTTAGATGCCCTCCAATACTCTCAAAGTGTCTGTCAAATGTCTTGTACTTTTAATCTTTTCTCAAAAAAAAAATGTGGAAAAAAAATGTGAGCATAAAAGAATAACATGCTTACTAACTTAAACTAAAAAAAAACTCTTTTGCTTTTCATTGCCTGCTATCTATGCTTTATGGAGAGTAATTGTGTCTTTAAAGGGGGAAAACACATTCGATAAGGTGCCACATATTCAAGATTTCATGTTCTGATATATTGAAATCCCTTCAATAGGTATCCCGAGGTCTGTCTCATGTTTTCATTTCTCTTTACTTCACTGAAAGTCATTTTCCAGGGTATCTCAATGTCTATCATATCAAGAATTTATTTGAACTCAATGAAAATATATGTTGTGTGTGAATATTTATTGTTTTATTTTATTTACTTATTTATAAAAATTTCCACTTTCTAAATATTGATATTTTTTACAAGTGCACAATGATTTGAAATTAGGTCCCTATTTGTAATTGATAAACTCTGTGTTCAAAGCTGGCTGTTGAAATTATTCAGGAACTAGCTCATCTTTTCCTAGTCAAATTTTGGATGAAAATATTCTAAAGTACATCAAACAAGGATTACAATGGGACTCTTAAGTAAAGGGGACATTGTGGAAGCAGCAGTTTGAACAAATATCCATTCTCTATCAGAATTCTGTGTCTTGAGTCGGGAAAAGCATTTTCCTGCAAGACTCTGTGAATCAAACAACAGAGAACCACTTATGTTTTCCTTTCATCAGCTCCTCATCCACTATTTTTCTTGAGAATGCAGTCAGGGAAGGTCGTAGAATACTTCCTCTGAAAAGAAAACCACTAAACAGGAAAACATTAATCAGAACAATTTCCTGGAAAAATTGTTTGCTGTGCCCAAAGTCTGTTTGAATATTGACAGTGTTTCAGAGAAAGACGATGAAACAATTCACTATGATAGCAGAAATATGGCTTCATAGGAAACAGGGATACATTTAATTAAATTTCATAGTGTGTGTGTCTTTACGCTTCTTCTTATAGTCCATTTCACTGGCTCAAACTTGTGAGTCAATCTTTCTCAAATTACTTTACTACCAAAATTTACAAACTGGATGTGAAGACTATATTGTATTTACAAAGAACTTGGCACTTACAGAATAAGTTATTGACTTTTTAAAATCTAGCCCGGGGCACCCATGGTTTAGGCAAATGTGGAAGCCAGATGCCTTATGCATTATGCTACATTAACATGAATAAGGTTTTCCAGCAGGTAGATGCCACAGTGCTGTCCCTGTTGCTGAAAGCCAATACCGCCCATTTCTAATCCGTGGGGTAGAAGTGGGGAAGTTCTTAGTCCAGAGAAAGTAAAGGCTGCCTGTTTTCCTCTTCGCTTTTATCCATGCGCTTCAGGGCTGTGGGGTCCACCACTGATTGTGATCTGGAAAGAATAAAGCCAGGGGCAAGGAGTTAGCACCCAGAATTAACCGCAAGGCACCATCTCCCATCTATCCACCACTGCTTCTCTAAGGGCCGTGAAGTCTCATCGAGGGATTTATGAACTGTGGATACCGCACATTTAGAGTATGGCATCAAAGTCAGCAAACAATTTTCTCTGGCTTCCTGGGTTGTGAGCAGCAAGAGGTTCTGAGCACAAAATAATAGGAGTAATATTGTCCTGACAGCGGAGGAAGAGGATTCTCTCTAATACACCGAAATTTTCTAGAACAAGAAATATTTTCTAATAAAAAATTTCCATCTGGAAAAAGAAATAGGTAGGTGCTTTTTTGATGATGATTTCAACATCAGTAAGAGCCTGAATTCCTGCCTTAAAATAATCTATAAAACAACTCCAAGATAACTATAACTCATTTCTTTATCATTCATCTCTCATTTTTAATTATTACATCACCACCCAAACAAAAATAAACCAGAATTGGAATGGAATTATGTTAAGTTTCCACTAGAAATTCCAAATAAAATAAAGCATATATTTGAACGTTTAAAGATGCTTAAAATAAAAGTGCTTATTTGGGAAGGAAGATTCTATAAATAAGGAAGCACACAATTTCAAAACCCCCATATGTAAATTCTTTTGACAGCAAGGTGGAATTCTATACCCGTTCATCATTAGGAAACTGCATGAGAATGGGAAGAAGAGAGAACAATGACACATGCTAATATTGTGGCAGGAAGATGCCATTTCAACAGCTAAGGCTTCAAGAAGGAGCTGCCCTTTTAGAGCCCTCACTGGTAATGAATTCTTCCACACTGATGCACTCCAGCCAATTGCCTTTTGCAGTAGCAATGTGCCTCTTAGCAGACTTCATTAAATCCCGAAAAGGAAAACTCTCAGCTAAATTACAATTGCACATGCTAATAAAAAGAATGCAATGGAACTAATTATATTTTCAAGAAGCACAAGATTCACCAACAAATGCTCCATCTATTTAAATAAACAATCCTATTTCAGGAAAGAAAATGCAGTTTTTGTCAAGTGGGGAGGTGGTCTGTTTCTTAGATACATTTTCTTTTCTCTAAATATTAAATAGGCACCAGATCTTGCAAAACAGACCAATTAAACTTTTCTGTGTTTCTCTGTATGTTTTCATGAGAAAGGGACAATGAATAAAGAGGAGAAAGGAGGAAAAGAAGACAGAGAAAACAGGGGAGAGGCAGAGTAGAGGATCACAGGATAAGATGCATAGTAAGACTTTGATGTCTCAATTTATAATGAATTTTCATACAAAATATGGATATTAAGCATTCAAATTGAAAAGCAACAAGAAAAATAGAAAATTATTTAGGAAAACACAAAATATCATAAAACTACATCTACTATTCAGACTCTGAACTCTCTTAATTGTCTCCAATAGGTAAAATCCAAAGCTGTGTTTACCATAATATTCTCTTAAAATACACTCCCAGACACGCACATACATTATTTTCAGTTTAAATGGAATCTGACATTTTATTAAGATAAAATATATTGTCTGAATTGGAATTGCTACTTTATTTTCTCAGGCATTACAGTGTTGGTGGGTAAGTGTTGGCTCCATTTGCACAGCAACTTCACAAGAGAAAAGAAAACTACACTCAAAAAGATAATTAATGTTGTCTTTGGCATTTAGCTGCCCCAGTTGCACTATGACTTAGTCTGGGGTTTATTCTTACTCTCTTCTGTGAGAGAAGGCGTGTAATTCTTTTTATGAGAGAATTGTGTACAATCACAATTATTCCTAAGTATTTTATTCCAGCCATGATGTAGGAAACTGTCTACCATTAACATGAAAATGAGGAAGTCAAACTCAGTGTCCCTTCCCCCGGGATTTCCCAGTTGATCTGGAGCATATATCCACCCACATACACATACACATACACCTACACAAGTACCTAAACCCGTACACATATTATATACACAATCATATACAACACAAAAACAAAGTAAAATTTGTCAGTAATCAGCAATTATGCAGCTATAATGGGATGCAATAAAATCTTTCAGACCTAGACTTCAGAAACAAGTATTTCAACTCCAGTTGCTTATATAGCTAATTTGCTTACCTTTTAACACAGGAAAGCTATGAAAAGCTCTGAGATTATATTCTTTTATATGTAAAATCAGGGGAGAACCTCTACTTTATATTAGCATAGTAAAGATAAAATATAATAACGCATACCTAAACCTCACACACATGACAAACAGAAAGGGTTAAGGAAGTAGCTCACAGAATATGATTATCTGGTCACTGAAATTAGAACTGGAATTCACTCTCCTTCTTGTCTCTTACTCTTCTTATCAATAAAATTGGACAAGTACTATCTTGTCAGTTAATTGCAAGAAGCAAGAGTATGAATTTCTGCAAGTTATAAAATACAGACTAACACGTAGTAGGAAGTGTTCATACCTTTCAGCAAAATGATTGTCTGCAGCCAAACAGCTGTTCAGGTCATATGAATTCACAGTGGTTGAGGCTGCAAGCACAAAACCTACATAACAATAGGCCAGGCAAAGTCTCTGCATGGATGAGCTGTAGGAGTTGGGGTTGGGGCAACTCATGAAGTCCCAACACTCACTGAGATACTATTGACAACTGATGACTTATAAAGGAGGGAGAGTCTATTTTCTTTAGGAATATCATCCCTGAGAGATTACTTATGATTTGACAAAACTATAGTATTAATCTTGCTGCATGTTCTCAGGTACTAGCCTAGGGCCCATAGGTGCAAGATACAAAACATTCCCAGCACTAAAGACAGACATGCTCTAGTAAACTTTGCATCTTCTCAGCTGATCATGTTCTTCCCTTCCCAACAAATTCACACAGTAAGACAACCCCAATAGGAGTGCAAAACCTTCAAATGCTACAAGCACACACTAACAAATAAGAACCTCTAAAGTTCTAATCATCTCACATCAGAAGCAAAATACACAAACTGGGATGGTGGATGAGCTAGAAAGCCTGCTTGTCATGGAAGAAAATGCCCCAGTGAATTGAAGTAAAGAAACAGAATCCAAACTGACTTCAAATTAGGGCTACACAGCTTATCTAACAAGGAGAGGTTACACCATCCAAAGCACGTTCCTGTGACAAGACTAAATACTGAGCATACAGTTAGGGGGTCATGGGCTAATAGTGGATTCTTGATTTTAAGGTGCTCATTGGGAGCCAGCAATGTGCTTTGATTTCTTTCATAGCAACAACTGATAACCAGAATAGAAGCCAACAAGGGCAAGACACGTAGACACCACTAGTCACAGTAGATACAGCTGTCGCCTATTAGTTATGAATACTGACCTTAGGCAGCCGCTGAAAGACAGAAAACAACTCACTCTTTCACTCAGCTGGCCTCTAGTGGGCCACCATGGGAGAAGACTTCCTCCAGGAACAAGGAATTCAGAGAACAGAACAAATACAGCCACCATTGTCTCCACAAAGTTTACACTATACTGATGTAGGTGGGCCTTCTGTTATGTGTTATTTTCATTGGTTAATAAAGAGACTGCCTTGGCCCTCTGATAGGACAGAAAATTAGGTAGGCGGAGTAAACAGAACAGAATGCTGGGAAGAGGGCAATGAGGCAGACGCCATGGAGCCAGCTACCAGGTCAGACAAGCTGAATCTTTCCCGGTAAGCCACCACCTTGTGGTGCTACACAGATTATTAGAAATAGGTTAATCAAGATGTGAGAGTTAACCAGTAACTAACTCTCTAGAGATAATGGGCCAGGAAGTGTTTAAATGAATACAATTTGTATGCTGATATTTCCAGTGCAAAGCTAGCAGTGCGGGAGCTGTGTGGGACGAAAAGCAGGCCTGCCCGCAGCTCCTCACTACACTATACAGTAAATATCAAACTAGCCCGTCATTGCATTGCTAAATGATAGGAAGAAGAATTTTGAAAGAACAGTGATTGATATGGAATGGCTGGCAGGAGTAGCACATAGAAATGGTTAAGACTGGGTGGTTGAAAAAGGGAGCAGAGACCCTTTTGAGGAGGTCCTGTGATGGGTACCAGCCATTTCAATATAGATGGAAAACAAACTCGAGCCAGAGATGTCAAGTAAAGGGACTAATTGGAGAAGCTGACGAGCAGAGAGAAGGCTGCTGCATCTGAAGGTAGGGGAGGAAGTTGCTGTCATAATCCAGTAGAGAAATACAGCAGGCACAGATGATACAGGGGCTTAAAGTGTTGTTATTCGTGATACAATTATCAGTCACTTGAAATTTAAATGGGAGTTGTGTAATGGTTAAATTACATTTTAAAAAGAATGTTTTTATCTCCATGCAGATTATAAACAAGCGAAGGGGAATGAAGTAACAATGGAATTTCAGAATGCAACTGGGAAATTCTTGGGAAGGGAAAAGACAAACTGTGAGCAACAGAGATGCCGCTGGACTGAAGAGAGAAATGCACTTATGGGATGTGATGGGATTGTGTGAGCAAAACTGTCACAGAAGGAAAAATAAAGGGAAAGGGCGTTGTATATAGCAGAAACTTTAAAAAGCTCACTTCCAGAGAGGCCACTACTATCATAAAAGGGTGGACCAGCTTTTTGTCAACAATCTGAAAGTCTCCAGATGAACTCTGTTCAACACACACATGGAATGGGAAAAGCACTGAGAACACAATTTTTTAACAAGTTTTCTGTGAGAACTAAAAGGTGGAACATTAAGAGCCATTTTATGATAAATACGTAATAAGTGTTAGAATATAATAACAATTGTTAGTAGAATTAATTTTGTTAGGTGACAATTATCCAGAGACAATTACTTTTTCAGGATTTTTGTTTTAGGAACCCTTTTAGAGTTGGAGAAACACTGTGTAAATACACACACATACCCATTTAATTACACACATACAGACTTTGAAGGCAACTCAGTACTAAAGAGAATCCTCAGCAACCTATCAACAATCACTTCAGGAGGTTAATGAACCCTCAGGTTTGCTGATAATTACTGTATAAGGCTGCCAAGTGAAGGGAGCTAAAAAAACCTAACGTCAGCTTAAAATCAAATTTGCTAACAAGTAAGGAAATGATAGGTAGCAGGGGAAAATTCCCCAGTCCTTTCCTTTTACTTCCAGGAGGTATACAGCTGCCGGTAGTGAGCAAACATCATTTACAAACATCGTCCACAAAGACATGTACATGTTCATACACACATGAGATAGAGAGACAAAGACACACAGAGACAGAAAAGGGGAGAGGACAAGGGAAAAATAGAGGAAGGGAAAAGAAGACTCATTCTTTAGGATCATGTTTGATCCTAAATCAATCAATGCTTTCACCAAAGAACCATGAAACCTCCATGAAAAAAGATGCAAAATAGGGTTTGGCATGAAAAGTGAAACATCTGCATCTTCCTAGAGGTAGCAGAGCACCACCTATTTCTGTCGATAGTGATTAGACTTGTGTGATCTGTTAGCCTCGTTAAGCTGCACTCTGCTGGGGCCTGGGGAAGCCTGAGAATCAAAGTCATATTGTTTGCTACAGGATTCAGAGGCAGAGCCAATTATGCAAGCATCCATCTGCAATTTTCCCACCCACTAACTGAAAGAAACATCATAAAGCATTGTGAGTCAAAACCGGAAAAGGGACTGTAACACAGTAATGAACCTTATGATGATTAAACCTGTAAGGATATAGTGGTTGGCAGAGTCTTTAGACAAAGACTGAAGAGAGAGATTGAACAGGTAACGTGTGTGTGTGTGTGTGTGTGTGTGTGTGTGTGTTGTATGTGTCTACATGACCCATAAAACTTTTTTTCCTAAGTGATCAAGTGGACTTTATGTGCTTAGAAAAAGTCATTGTCACAGCAAGACTTTAAAATTCTATTAGTAAGGAAATAAGACACACACATGAAAATGAGGAAGTCAAACTCAGTGTCCCTTCTCCCGGGAGCTTTACCGGCTGCCCAGTCGATCTGGAGCGTACCTCTTCATTGATTTGGGGGAGAGCTCCTTCTCTACTTCCTTCACAGGCATGCTGTAGGAGTCCACGTTGTACTCGCTATCATCATCATACTCATGGTCTAGCAGGGTTCGGGCCCACGTCCCCATGTCATATGGGGGCAACATTCCTCCAAACTCAGAAGGCAGGATCTCAGGATGGATGAGTTGGTGTAGACTGTTCAGGTTGTTACCGTGCAAGAATATCTATAAATGCAAGATGACATATGTAAAGGAATCACATAGAGAAAACTAAATACCACACAAAGGCTGGTGGGAAGGGGAGAGGCTAGAGAAGCAAACATAAGAGGTTTATGTGTCTCTGACAACATGTAAGTCTCTTCTCTACTCAATGAAGTAGACAAGACTGTACCGTTATACAACATTTCGTATAAAATTCCTGAGGAGCAAGAATAGCTAGTTTCTAGAAGGTCAGACAGCTACTGGGATAAAGACCTAGAATTACAAGTTTGGTTTTCTGCTTATTTGTGAGAACTATGAGCAGAGTAGTCTAAGCTCACCCTCACCTTTGTTTTAGCTGTGCCAACCTGGTGATATACGGAATGGTGCTATTCAAACAACTTTTTCTCAGGAAGGATTCTTCAATGTCAGAACTGTCCAAGTTATCCAGACCAAAAGCTGCCTCCATATCCATTTCTCATTATTGTCAATGAAAATGAAAATACTATAACTACTCTACTGTAGCCTTATAATTTGAAGCATATGCTGTAAGAAAAAGTTGATTAGCAACCTCATAAGTAATGGCTGACCGAAGCCCTCATCCCAAAGGACACATGTTCTGCATTATTGAAAAATCCTCTGTCCTAGAGATTTTCATATTTATTGTCCAAGTGAAAATAGAACATTGAATTGAAAGGGCAACATCATAAGTATACTTAAATTATTGGTATTATTGTCTACATGGAGTTTTTTTTATAATCTAAAAATGAATTCAAGTACAGTTTCAATTACTTGCTACCTCCATCAGTTGCTAACCTTTCTACATTTTTATTAAGAATCATTTAAATTATTTTACTTTAAATGTTTTCAACAATACAAATATTAGAACATTATTCATTCACATGTTGATATAACAAACCTTTGAATAAAATAAGATTTTATCAGTGAATAAAAACTTATTTTCATTAGTTAATAGCCAATTTGCATCACCATTAATAAGCCTTTTAAAAGAGACATGACACATTGAGGTTTCAAAATATAGACAAAGCAAGTTAGAAACTGAGCTGAATGCTTCCTACCTGTTGACTAGCTTTCGTAATTTCAGAAGGTTCTGTGTATGCTTTTCTTAGCGTTTTTTGACATGACACAGAGCCAAATTGACTTCTAATGATTTATGTTTATATCCATATACAAATGTGTATATTTTTGCCCTAAACAAGACATTTTATTCAACTACACTAAGGTTTGGGGAACGTTGTGGAAAAGAGGACAGAAAGATTGGAATAGCCAGAGAAATAATTTCTTCTGGACATTGCACAATCAACGCACTCATAATCTCCTACTGCTACAACTACATTGCAATAGGTACAGGCCTGCCAACAGCCAATCATGGATGCTCACAAGGCTCTCCCATTTCTTCCTGAATTATTTGAAAGTGATAGGGTCTGGGACAAGTATCAATATCTTCTGCAATTCTGTGTCCACTTATGAGATAATAAGGCTGCAGGGGATAACTCCAAACCCATGGTCACAAAGAATGCCCTAGTTTAACTCAGTGAATAGAGAGACGAGGCTGTGGGTAATGGGGTGAAAATGGAGAAAAGAAGATGGGTGACAATAATCAGAATATACTGTATACACATATATGTCATATATATACATATATATATAGTTTATGTTTATGTGCATAAACATGTGAAATTGTGCAAAATTAGATTTTAAAAAGTTAAAAAAGTGTGTTACTCTCAAGACTTCCTTTATAATCATGTTTTCATCGTCAGCTATGGATCCTCCATTCCCATCCGAGAACAAAAGATTTTTAAATTATAACTTGCCTTTACTTCATTTTCATTCTATCATCACTAAATTATAAATTGATCAAAAAGCATCACTAATAGCCTGTTGATGAAGGCTGCTTGTTTGTTCCCAGCAGCCCAGACCCTAATTAATCACACAGAAACTGTATTAATTAAAACACTTCTTGACCTATTAGCTTATGCATATTTCTAGCTAGCTCTTGCATCTTAAATTAACCCTTTTCTATTATTTTATATTTTACTATGAGGCTTGTGGTTTACTGTCCCAGCACGCAGCCATCATCCTCTTTTGGCGGCTACATGGCATCTCTTTGACCCTGCGTACTTTCTCTATATATCTTATCCATCTTGGCTATATCTGTTAAGTCATTGGCTGAAAGCAGCTTTTTTATTAACCAATGGCAATAAAACATATTCATTGCATACAGAGGGTAATCTCAATCTCATATCACCATCCCATGCAGATTTCTGTAATATTTATTTTGAAAGTACAGTTTATAGGTAACTTAATTTCACATTTTGTGTTCAAGATGAATAGGTTAACTAGCACATTCATATTTGTTCTCTGTATCTTTAGAATCCACACTTGTAAATATATAGGAAAAAATATCTTTAACAACAGGCAAATTTTAAGAAATTGCAATTATCAATCCACTATTAATTTTAGCAAATTATGGAAGATTAGAAACAGGTGTCAGCCAAACATTGGCCACTGTACAGAATAATCAGATTCTTTAATAAGCAATTGCAGTGTTGGAAGACGCCAGCTCCACCACCCATAAACCAGGTTAATTGAAAATATAACATCTTTCCACTGCAACTTAAGACCACACAGCCTGCGTGTGTGTGTGTGTGTGTGTGTGTGTGTGTGTGTGTGTGCGCGCGCACGCGCGTGCATGCTCACATGCATATGCATGCATATACGTGTATATGTATATATTTATGTATGCATGCATGCATGTATGATGTATGGAACACACACATGTATAACAATATTCTTCAGTTAAAATTATTTCTCCTAAAAAAAAATATCTAAGTTTCTAAACCCTTGTTATACCCACTTTCTAACTTTGAAAACATCAGATGTGTTTCTTCATAACAGAACCCTCCATCGAGTCATGAAGGAAGGTGTTGTGGTTAAAAACAACCCTTAGAGCAGTAAATTCTGCAATTCTCTGCTGCCTCCTCCCTCAGCATCACTTTCAGCATTGGCCTTGATTCAACTCTTACTGAGGAAATAGGGCACTCAGCTGCAATCCACCCACCAGCATCTGTGCCCATGTGTTCTGCCTCACCACTTGAATAGAGACAGCATAATCCCCACAAAGACTAACCATTACACGAGCAAAACAAGATCTATTCTCTTTTCTCAACCCAGTTTTATTTCCCAACAATTACACTTGTTTTTCCCATATTAAAACATCAATCTCTCTTTCCCATCTATGGAGGGAAAAAAAAAAGCTTGCTGTCTTCAATACCTTGCAAACAGATGCATAAAAACTCTCTTGGCTCTTTGATTCTTATCTTAGCTTCAATTCTTTATTAACAGCAGAACTCACAAGGGAAATTGTTTTTATGCATTGTTCAAATACTCTCCTCTAACATTTTATAAGCCCAGCCCATTTCTACTCACTCTCTTAACAGTACATGGTATCACCTTTTGTTCATATCGCTCTCTCTGATGAATTCAATGTCCAATTTTCATCTCATTTATACACAACCCTTAGCAAAACTACATTCTTCTTTAATCTCCTTTGCTGATGATTCTAATTTTTTTTAAGACAGAGTCTCACTATATAGCCTGGTTGATCGGGAATCCATTATGCTCATTATGTATACCAGTCTGTCCATGAACTCACAGAGATCCACTTTCCATGGCCTCTCAAGTGCTGGAGTTAAAGGCATGTACTATCATGCCCATGAAGACTCTACTTTTAAACCAGACATTATTATTAAATTACCATCGTTGTTGATTTTTGTTCAATCTGCAGATTTATATTAACTATACTCTAAAAACCAACATCTTGAATCCAGACTTATGCTAGAACCCTTTATTTGATCCCTCTCTCTCTCTGTCTCTCTCTCTCTCTCTCCCCTTGAAATTTTCACTTCAGTGTTCAATTCTTGAATTCAAAAGGTACAAACTAAATTCAAAAATATTACCCCCAAACTGTTTCTCCTTATTCATAGCATCAGTAAAGATTTGGTTATCTTTCCCGTATCTCAGACCAATAAAAATGAATCATATTTCACTTATTACATCACCCAAGTTGTCAAAAAATTCTTTTTTTTTTTTGATGATACCACTCAGAGTAGCTATAAACCCACTACTAAAATCACCTTTCATTATGTTCTACCACAGCTCAGATCTCCTGGGTCATCCTGCTGCCACTCTTCTTCAGAATGCTCTTGAGATGGCAGCCAGAATGGCCATGACAACACATACACCAGATTGCATCATTCTGCTCACAGTCCATCACTGACTACTCTATTGCCTGCAATAAGCAAACCCTCTATGGCCCCATATTCCCTACAAGATCTACTCATTTTAATCCATCTCCTACTGCTGCCTTAGACTATTTGTTGTGCATTTTTCTTTTTCTTGAATATTTCTGCCTCAACATATATATGAACTCCTGTGGTCTGCAGAAATCATGCAGTGACATTTCAGCTGATAGAGCAGAAGATTAACCCACAGGAATGAATGCATTCTGAGGGAAATAAACCCAGTTAGCAAGTGCCGGGCCTACCACTTTTGCATATTGACTAATTTTCATAATGGATCTCTTGTGACGCCATAAGCACTTTTCCGTGGTGCAAAATTCAGCAGAGTATGGATTATTAGGCACAATTCTTTTCCATGTACTGGTATATTTGGTCATCCCCCCACCCTTTGTGAGACCTTCAGTGGAAAATTTAGTCACACAGTCAGTAACCTTGGTTCCCACAGTCTCATCTCCACTTTGTTCCCTGAGAAACGTTAGAAGCCACCTCTCTGTGACTATCTTCCATTCGTCAGGATATGTAGTCAAAAAACAACTCTTTCATATAGATCACATTTGGGATCTTCAAAGATAAAGGGGCATCCAAGTTCAGAAAACTGCCTTTGTTTTACATGTGTATATAAACTGGATAAGGGGACAATAGCAAGAAAAGAATAAAGAAACTGATGCAGAAAAGTAGAGTGGAGAATTCCTTTCACTCTCAGAT